GCAAGACAGAATGCAATTGAGTCATTAGTTACTTTGAAAAAATATTCGCACATATTTTTTAATAACAATAATTCCTATTACTTTTATTATAACGATAATAATTTCTTTATCATGTACAGTAATTTCCGTATCTATCGAGCGACTCTCTAGTAGCTATTTAGGTCAATTTACCTTCCATTTATGAGATATAGCCATCTAAATGTGCGCGACGAATTATGGAGTGACTTTACCGCGCGAATCCCCGCTCCGGACGCCTTTTTCGGTCGTTAAAAGAAACGAAAGTGACGGGCCATTATCCCGTTTCCCCACAAAAACGATCCGCTTTCGTCCCCAGCTACGAGCCGCGGCCCTCGCCGGTCATTTATCTCGATAATGACAGTTCGGAACAATTTCTATATTAGAGGGTCTCATTAGAACGCCGCGCCAGCTTGTAATTTACCTCGTCGACATTTTTACGTTCACAAATGCGTGAATTAAAACGCGATGGCAAGCATGTTCCTACACTCGTCGCGCCTTAGTAACACTCAAGCCTTTGCTTAATCGCGAATATCTTTTTTAAAAAGAGAAGCTTCTGAATGTTGGCAGATGTCTTGAACAGACATAAAACAGCGAAATGATTGTCATAACAGTAGCTTCTGCTATAATAAAAAAAATGATTTTGATAAAGTATATATCTAAAAATTTAGTAAATATAGATCTGCAAATAATCTTGTTGGATTATATAAAAATAATTACGTAGCGGAAGACGGTCAAACTAATTGCTACAAAATGAAAACTTTTTGCAGCATTGTTCATTATATTTGAGTTTCTCACAATTATCTTGATGATCCAATAAAATTATTTGCAATCCTTTACATTGAAAAGAATGATTGCATATTATAATTTAACTATAAATTTAAAGTCATTTTTGTGGTTAACTATATATTGCTTGGAGAAATCTTTATTTTTTAAACATATTTTGTAGTTAGATATTATTACCACATATGAATAGTAAATGAATTTAAGAAAATATTTATATTCACTATAATTGCGGTTGTATCTATTGAATAAAAATATTTATTTTATTTACCATTTATATATTAATATTTTACTATATTAATATTTGAAACTACCATAATTTATAGTACAATGTTTGAAAGAACTATCATGTAAGTAAGGTTATTATTACTAATATTATAGCAATAATAATCATAAAAACGCCATAAATTATGCGCGGAATTATGAATAGAAAATTTATTAAATTTACAATATTAAAGAAGGATTTATGATGCCAAATCTATATACGAAAACACAATTTTACTGAAGTATTTAAAAATTTAGATAGATACACTGAGAGAAAAGTGTTTGGTATTTGTGTATAGCTATAATTGTATGTTAAAATAATCTCGATATAGTATCTATTATAATTTATATTAATGTAATAAAGTTAATTTATATTAATGTAATAAAGTTTCTTCAATAATAATTAAAACAAATAAAAATCTAATTAAATTATATTCAAATGCATCACAATTGTTACATAATTATTTTATCGTTCATACTCGCAATAATTATTACGCAGCAGCGCTTCAATAAGATATTATCGGCGTAATATTAGCTATATTAAAATTTTTACAATAACATCAAACGAAATAGAGGCTTTATACGATTCACATTGACAATTGTCGGCTCATAGGTAATCATAGTCCACGTTTCGACGTGCGTCATCGGCGCTTCCGGAATTAATACTTAAACGCGAGAAGACGTCAAGCGGAAAACTTTCCGCGCAATTCACGCTCCGTTGAGGAGATTGTCACTGTATTTTATTTCTCAGCACCAAAAAACATCTCGTACATTTCTCAAGAGCTTCGCTGATAACTATTATAAGCGTTTGAAAAATTCATTATCGTTATTGATTTCGACAGTGCATAAAAAAAATATTATACGCTATAATTACAAAATATATTCTCTTTTTTCAGCTAAATGGAAAAAAGTTTAGAAACTGGAGGAAAAAAGACTTTTTTATTTCAGGATAGATTACTTACATTATTATTTTTAGATAATTACATAAAATAACTTATCATTCATGAATAATCAGATATTATTTATGAATGATAAGTTATTTTATGCAATTACCCAATAATAAATATAAATATTCATGAATTTTATATTATGATGTTAAAGTACTTCAACTTTGCCCACAGTTTTTATCGTTTGCTACGTTTTATATATATCTTGCAATTGCATCCTCGTCACTTATTCGTGCGTGTTGGTGTCGAAACTCCAAAAGAATCGAAATATCACCAATACGCGATAAATGTTAAAATGGTCGAAAATTAATTGGCACGTTTTTAACGGGGCAATAAAAATAATGAGCCATGACGGCGGACAGGTAGGCCGGGGATACGACGCAAAAATCGCGCGATAGACTGGCCGCTCCATTTTCGTCGGAAATGGCCGCATAAACGTTATGGATGGCCGTACCGAAAGGGGTGAGCGATTTTTCTTCGAGTTAATACGCCACGGTAAGAGAGGTGCCGCCGCGCGAAGAGAGTTATGACTCGCACAATATCATACCGGAGCGGCGACGATGCGCCCGCGAGAGACACGATAACAATAAACGTAATATATGTAAGGAAGCTGGCCGTTAATGAACAACGATCTCGAGAATCTCAAATATGCCACAAGGATTCAAATATTAGTGGTAAGTGTTTTAAATCGAAGAGTTCGTAAATCGTCATGTCCATAAATGACATTCTAATTAAATATAAATTCTATTTACATTCAATTCAAAACATTATTATAAAACATCGTGTTATAAAATGTTCTGTTATCATGTTGCATTAAATAAATAGATACATGAAACATTACGGAACAAATTGTAAAACCAGAATAGTGAAGAAAAGTAGAATATCGAAAATTAAGATATTAATCGATATTGGCGAATTTGCTTTTGAGAAAATTTTACTTTGGACGATCGCGCGCGTATTTTTCTTTGAAATATTCTTTAACAATAAATTAATTAAAGTTAAAATTGCGACATTAATTGTAGCGATACAGAGGAGTAATCGCGCGTTGATACGCCGACGTGAAATGTCAATTACGTGACTGTCGACTAATAAGCTCTCGCTAGCCAAGAGGACGATGCGAATTTATATCAAATGAATTTTCCGCGAGACAAATGTGATCGAATTTAGAGTTAATATTACCTACTGATATATAACCTGCATGATCATATTTAACACTTAGAATACTCGGAGAAAATTGCAGTCTTGCGATGGATGAAAAGATTTGACACGTTATTTTAATGGATATCGTTTAATGGATTAATCAAACTCAAATTAATAATTTAACTTAAAAATGTAGCGTGTATATGCCAAATGAAATCGTAAGATATGTAAATTTAGTTGCAAAAAATTATTTCTGTCTTAATCTTTATTTCTTAATGTTCATGGCCAATAATTCTATTGTTATATCTATTCTCACGAAAATAACGATGTTGAAATATCTAAAAATTTAGCCAGCTACAGATCTGAAAATAATTTTGGACCATCAAAATAATTACATAGAAAACTCAAGTATGATGAACAATGTTGCAAAAAGTTTCGATATTCTAGCAACCAATTTAAGCGTGCTACATAATTATATTGATTGTCCAACCAAATTATTTTCAGATCTATATTTAGCTGAATTTTTAAATACTTCAACAATTAAAATCGTTGTCCTTACTAAAATCCATTAGATTTCTCATTGTGTAATTAAGAGAAGAAATGTTACTTATTAGAGTAATACAAAAGTTAACAATGAAATGTGAAATATTTAGCACGTGATATGTAACACGACTCATCATTTATTTAAACAAAAGGAAGATATTTAATGATTCACGTAACAATAACGATGCAACACACGATACGTTGCATTGAGGCTTTCGAAACTAATTAATTTTTATCGGTAAAGTACGCGTAATTATGACGCTCGTAAAATTTACACGGATGTTACAAACCATACGATCGATTGCGAAAGGATTTCATGAAGATTTCAGAAAACAAATTTGCAGTAATATGCAACAATGGTTCGCGTTTCTATGAAGAAACTATACTCACACGATAAATTATAATAATGTTGGTTTAAAATAAAAATGTGTAAAGATATATATAATGTTCTATAAGTTTCATACAACTTCAATGAAAATCATAATCAAAAAAATTCTTTAAAAGTTAAATATATTTATGATAAATTGTTAGCAAGGTATGCAATTAATTTAATATAGACCTATCAATCAAAGTAATGTTAATTGGAGAATAAACATATTGGAGTACATTAAAAAATACAATAGAAGTACAGTAAGTATAATATTTAAAAAAAACCATTCAAAAACGGATGACAAACTTATAGAATTGCCACAAATTCCTCGTCTTAAAATTCCATAACTTTTCTCTGATTTCCGAACAAAATTTCATGATTTTCCTTGAATTTTAATATTTTGAAAATTTTTTGTATTTTCTTGATTTAGAAACCAATAAATATTTTATTAAGAGAACAATTTAATATAGCAATGTAAGTTACTGTTAATGTTGCTGAAACTGCATTTAATTGTTAAGTTGGTAGAATTCCAAAACTACATAGATATAATTTGCGCATATCAAACTTCTTTAAAACCAAGAATTTTAATTTACCAAAAAATTCTTTGACTTTTCCCTGATTTCCCCGTTATCAATTTCCCCAACAATTGATTTCTCACTTTGATAAAGAAAATTTAAGAAAATTATTTAAAACGTTTATATTGGGCATCTCACTATCGAAGGCAATAGTGTTATTTTTAGCTTTAGTTACGATCTCCCTATATTCTATACTTAACAATGCGCTTTTAATGATAAACCACTTTCCAATTCTTCGAGTAATTTTATTTTACTACTGGTGTCTTTCACGTTCTTTATAAAACACTTCAATTCGTCACATTAGGAAGGTCTATTGTTGAGGTTTAATCCTAAAGACCATCCATTGAACGTGAAGAAACTCACCGTGTTGATGCAACTTTCCGCCTCCGACGGCCTGCTGTTGTGAATGTTTATGATGATGCGGTTGTTGTGTTTGCTGCTGTGGCTGTTGCTGTTGCTGCTGCTGTTGCTGCTGCTGCTGTTGACGCGAATCCCGCGCCATGATCGCAGCGATGCTGAAGTCGGTTGCGCATTGACGATTTGAATTACAATTATTATTGAGATTGTTCAGGAGACTGCTGTTCGGCGAGGGGCTTGAGCTCTCGTCGCCGTCATCGCCGGCGCACCCGGATAGCCCGGTAGGTACCGTGGAGGCGGCGGTGCCCTCGCCCTGCATCTTCCTGCCCAGGTAGAGGTGATGTCGAGATTCCTCGTCGTCCTCCTCGCTGCCGGCTCCTCCGGCACCACCGCCGCCTCCGCCACCACCGCCGCCACCGTCGCCGAACGAGGTCAGTGTCAGTCCGTTTCTCTTCCTACCGGCGAGGCCTCGCGACTCCAGCAACATCACCTCGCGCGCTGCTTCCTGAGCCACGTGGGGTCTATCGACAAACTAGTCAGAGAGCGTTTCAGGGCGGATCCGCTTGACGCCGTGACGCTACGGGCGTCGTGCGTCAGAACAATGTCGATGCTGATAATTGTTGTCCGGAAGACCGTATGTACTTCTATCCTCGATACGCGAGTACCGCTGAAGCGGCATCAGCATCCTCTCCTGCAATCGTGCAAATCAACTCCGATTCCTCGCTGTCGACATACGCGCGTATACGCGTGCGAGGAGATAACAGAGCACGTGCGTGTGAAGAAACGAAAACCTACGAACGGAATCGGGCACGGATTGGTCGGTTACGATCGCCGCGTTCGTTGCATGGCCAGTGGAGTACGGATAAAACGTTGTAACTGATCAGAGTCTTTATCGGAGCAACGATAAAAATCGGAGCACAACACTAAAACTACGCCAAATAGCTAGCCGTGACGTTTAGCGATCGGCGATCGGTAGTGAATGTGATCCGAAGTAATTGACGCCGGCCAAATGTTGGCCGGAGTAGCACTCCGTTAACAGGGGACTCGAAGAAAAGTTACGTCGTCGCAAGGACACCAATTCGCTTCTCTTTCGCACGCGCGAAAAAGCGGAGCTGCTTGATGTATCGTTTACACTCCCAGGCCGAGCGAGCGAAACGAGCAGGGAACGACAGACCGACCGGTTGCCCGACAGACTGACCCGCGCCACTGCCAGTCGCCTCTTCGTTCCGACCCCCATCCCCGCCAATACGATTGAGCTCGGTCGGACGAGCTAAAGGGACGGCGAAACATGAGCGGGAATGAGAGGAGAGAACCCCAGCGGGTGTTCAATGGGCGGTTCCTTGGCACGCTCCTCCTCCGCGATCAGCACCCGGCTCCGCCTGCAGGCTCTCTCCCGTGCGAAGCCCACCTCGAGGTTCGCTTAAACGTTATTACCGCGTCGTTCTTCCTCTCGTTTCTACTCGTCCCTCTCTTTCTCTCGCGCCCATGTCAAACTGAAACTGCCAACCGGGAGCCGACGATACAAACACGCACGAGCGTCCACAGGAGGAGTCTCTCTCGGTCAGCCGGTGGTGGTCGTCGCCGCCGTCGTCCTCGTCGTCGTCTTCGTCATCATCGTAGTCGTCATCATAGTCGTCGCTGCTCACCCAGGTCGTCTCTCCTCGTCCTACGTCGCTTTTTTCCACACTGTCTGTCTCGTCCCACTCTTCCCTTCCTCCCTCTCTCTCTCTCTCTCTCTCTCGCGTCCTTGTCCCTTCTTCCTCATGCTTCTTCCTTTCACCCTCTCCTCTTCCCGCCCCTCCCAAACGTAGCAACCCGCCCCACCCGTCGCCCTCTCGCTGCACGCTCGACGTCCACACGTACAGAACGAGGTAGGGTGGCGGTATTATGGTCTCGTACGCGCCATCCAGCCACGGCAGCTGCCATTTTTTCTTACGAGAGGGGGGCAATTGCTGACAGGGACCGCTTTCCTCCGCGCTAGGACGCCGCGGTTCTCGCCTCTCTTTCACTCTCATCCTCTTTGCCACCCTCTCTTTCTCTCTCTCGTACTCTGCCGCTCTCTCGAGCGCAATTTATTGTTTTACTGGCGGAGCTTTAAACACGACCGAACGACGGTGGCGGCGGCTTCAGCGTCAGCGTCAGCGGCGACCGCGGCTAACGCAGGTGGGTGGTTAGCTCACTGCTGGCTGGCTGGCTGGCTGGGCGGTGGATAGGCGGGTGGGTGGCAGTTGCTTTGGTGGCTCGTCTCGGCTGGGTTCGTCGAATGGGGGCGTGGGAGTATATCGTCGTATACTTCTCTGGGAAATCCCGTCAACGTCTACTACCGCGACTACACTTCGCCGATCGCGCACACTTATTATTTCCCATTCTACTCTCCTGATGCGTATTCTCTATCTTTCGAATCTCGTTCGAGTCTGATCTGTTTTTCAACATTTGCGGGTATGATCGCGAAAGTGCGTTGCACTTTGCCAATCTCACGACAATTAGAGCGATCGATTTCTATCGATTGCTCTTTGTCTTCTTAAAGTAGCATGCGTTTTTTAAACACAAGTTAGGTTATTCATAATGTATAGTCTCGTGCAGAATATTTTTACATACCTTGTATTTATACCTTCGTTTATTTTTATAATCTTTTTATAAGAAAACCTTTATCATTTTTATAATCTTTATAAAAATATCTATATATTTATATAATATTTTAATGAATTGTAAGAAAAGGCAGGATAAAAATGCTATTAGGAACAATATTATTTATATTATAATAAAATTAAAAAATCTCACTCTTTATTATTTAAAAATATGTAAATGTTACTAACTGATTTTAGCATAATGCTATCTGTAAATGCGTTAAGCTCGATTTAGGTTGAAGAGCTTGAAAATTTGCTCAAGCATTCTTAATTCATAGAATCTCCTCACTACTTCGCAAATATCATCTTTTTATTTCTTAATATCCACTTTAAAAAATATGGATGTGGATTTAACACCATGGGTGTTAAATATAATTCTCACTGTATTGATGTTGACATAAATATCAACATGGCATAAATTTAATCATCACGTGTTTCAAATCATAATATTATCCACATAATATAAATCCATATCAAATATTTTTATTAACATATAACAACAATATGGTGAAAATTATATAAACATCGCAAATGTTAAGTCCACCCCTATATTTTTCAGTGTATCGTTATTCTTCATCTTTTAAAAATTGAAAAGTGAGGTACGCGAAATATATATATAAGATCCTGGAATTAAGATCTTCGCAATCGTTAAACCGCATCGATCATAATCCAGTAGGATTACAGAGAGTTTCGCATCTTCGTTTATCTCCGTATCCACGGAGGACCCTCGAAATCTCCTTTTATCCCTTCTCTTCACGATTCGGCGCGCTATTAACGTCGTTATTGCCATTTGTCGAGGAACCGAGAAGTACGCGTGCGCCAGCAGCTGCAATACCGAACTGCTTTTTCCGCTGGGCGATTCTCCGACAGAAGTATTACGGTAGAAATAACGTTATCCTCGGCCGGAACGAGCGTTGAAGATGAATGGGGGTTGGAGCCCGCTTACCCTGCATCGCCGGCACTTTTCCTCCGTCCCTCTCCCCTTCGCCCCCCTGCACCGTTGGGATATTATTTCGTCGAATATCTCGCGAGTCGTTTTGAACGCAGCATTTCGCTGCAGATAAGTCTTGGCTTTAACCAGTTCGGATACCCGTAAAAAACCTCAAAATCGTTAAATCTCGCGCACGAAGCAACGCAGTTATATTTCTCTATTACGATTAAATTGTCAATTATAATTGGATTTCGGAGATAGTATAGAGGAACAGATATGTGTAATGTATCAAATCTTTGTTGTGAGATGTATAATGCAATGATATATAATCTTTTGTATAAATAATTTTTTAATAGAACCGTTGGAAAAGTAAAAAATTAGCATTGAATTAAAAAAGTTTACTACATTTTTTACTTTAACAAATGTCAAATTTCAAAATTGCAACACAAAATAATAATAGCCGTAGAGATCAACATAGAATGATAGAATAAATGATTAGGTCAAAATTTAAACCTAATTTATTTAAACATCGAAAGAGTAATATTTAAAATTAGTCTTTTACTAAAGTAAAGAATATGGAACGTTTTGACTTCAATCATTTTTGCCACTAAATTATAAACACGATACAGAATTAAAAGATTAAAAACATAATAAAATATAAAAAAGTCGTAATAAATAAAACGTTAAAAGAATTCATAATCATAACATAAAAGTCGATCAAAAAAACCACATCAAAAGTGAGCTGTTATAAAATTAGGAATGTATTCAAACGTACATTCTTCGTAACGAGTCATTACAAAGGTCCTTTGAAGCAGAATTATTTTTTCGTTCGATGGCGAAAAAGTAAAGTCAAGAAATTAAATATTTTTTATTTTAATTCTCACACGAAATCTCACGAAGCACGCGTGTCATGTTTTCCCGAACGCTGCAAATCTTCAAATTATCGGTTGCAATTAAACGAATTGATGCAGTCGGTAATCTTTCTTGCGGTCAAGCGCGGCGGTGCGAAAACGCAAAATTACCACTGCAACTACGCAAAATAATTAACGTCGCGCTAAGGCGGTACGAGGCGGTTAACGAAGAGAAGCGGCGTGCTCGAAAATAAGAAGGTATTCGGCGCGCAGGCGGAGGCATATTACCCCGGATATTATTATAATAAAGCAGGAAATTACCTCGTGTGATAAATGCGCGGGTAGCGATGCGGCCTCGTAAATTATATCATCAGTGGATTATCGTAATTACACAGCGCGGTATATCGCAAGTGAAACAACGCGCAATGCCGTTGTGTTGTTGCTGCCGCTGCGGGGGAGAGGGGCAGAAAAAGAGGGAGAAAGAGGTCTGAATATCTCGCGATTCGCGCGGTGCGTTCTGCTATTATCCCGCGGGTGGTAAACGTAATCGTTCGCGCACAAATTGCGAGCCGTGCGAAACAGTTAATCGAGGCGTGACGCGATTCGGCGGCCCGATACATTTATGCGCGATCGGATATCGATCCTGCTTTTACCTCAGCGACCGGAAGCGGCCGACGCGCTCTCGGTTATCATGTTATCGGTCCCGACTTTCGACGAGGCTGCGCTCAATTCGCGCGCGGTGGTTGCGTCTGCAGCTCGATTGAGTTAATTCAATTAATCGATCCGCGGTGCACCGTCGAAGCGTCGAGATCGCTAATTTCGGTGCGCAAAAGCACGAGAATAAAGCACCTAAAAATTCCTGCTTTTTTTGCTGATGCGATCAGTCGGTATAATTTTCTGTTATGTATCTTGACAATTAAGCCATAAATAAAATTTCCACATTTCGTGGCAAGATAAAAGTTCATTAAAATACAAAATTTTATTATGTTTATCTACATTCTCGAATTAATTTGGTACAGTTTTTTAATTCTGAATATTAAATAAATTATAGTGAACTCTTGTTTTTCTTGGATCAAAGAAAGAATTAATGTGTATGAAAAACGATTTTAATTAGCGCAATAAAAATCTTGTTGAATTTAATAAGCATCAAAGCCGTGTATCTTGTTTCCTTAATGAAGTCACCTGATTTAATTATTGCTAAACTGCGGCGAAGAATAGTGATTCTCTATTCAAAATTAGCATATTATGCAACACGTGCGGGGCCAAAATCTGCTACCGATTCCGCGATCCGATCTTCGCGAACACCAGTAATTAGACATGTCTACGAAAGGCGACGTGCATGACTGGTGTCAATTAGCGGTGGTAACGACGTGAGCGGTTAACTAATTATATGCGCGGTATGCACTCTTATGTCCGCCGAACGATCAAGCTATATGATCGAGATCGAAACAAAGATCTTAATTAATCAGCGCTTTTTCAACCTTTCGTGACTACTGTATTCTTGCACCTTGTAATTAAAGCGCCTTAAAATTGAAGTTGCTTTTCCCTCTAAGTTTAACAAATTCAAAATCATATAAAAAATTGAGCTAAATATAGATTTGAAAGAATTTTGTTGAATTATCAAAATAATTGTGTATAATGACATTCAAACTGATTAATAGAATATCAAAAATTTTTTTGTAATATTGTTCATCATGCTTGAATATCATACATAATTATTTTGATGATCCGAGAAAATTATTTTTAGA